GCCCACGTCTACCCTCTGCCACAGGGACAGCCAGTGAAGAACTAAAATCAGCTCTCTGAAACAGCTCCATGGTACTCAGCCCTCGCTCCAGCACCCCATGCTCCATGCTCCGAGCACCCTGGCTCCTCGGGGTGATCCAGCGCCTCCCTTTGCCTGGATCTCCCCTGAAGTTAGATGAGGTCCTCTGCTCACACAAGGGTGGGCTTCCCAGGAGCTGCTGGCCAAACTGCGTATCATGTGGGCTTTGGCGTGGGTGCTCATTTCCTGGTTAGGTCTTATTTTGGGGGATTTGGGGTAGCCACATGGCAAGGTCGGGCCGATGCCTTTGCCTAGGACATGGGGTTTGTTGCTGTGTGTCTCCTGTACAGACAGCCCCAAGCTGAGAGAGGAAATAACAACCCTGCCCGTGGGGTACAGAGCCCCCCGCTCCGCTCCATCCCTTTGCTTGAGTGACTCCCCTCCCTGAGATCTGCACACCATCTGTCGGATATTCACTCAGATGACCTGCCAGTCACAAAACACTGGTCCCCAAGTTCTGTGATTGCCCAGTAGTCCCCAAGTTCTGTGATTTCCTGTCTTTCTAGTCCACCCTCCTTTCCCTTTCCACTGCCACTGACTCTGCTTCAAACTTTTTTTTATATCACATCAAGTTGATTTCCAAACCCGTGGCCTCTCCTTCTCCCAGACCCCTCTCTCTGCTGCTGCCTTTTGCTTAAATCAGACCTGGTCCTGTCAACGCTCCACTCACCAGCAAGCTTAGCCCCTGAGGTCCAGGCTCAGCTGGGAGAAGTCTTACCCTGCCCCTCACCTGGCCATTTCCTTGGCCCAAAGTTCAAGCTTGATGGTGGCCCTGCCTTTCCCAGTCCCTCAGAGCTCCACTCCTATTTGTATTAGCAGGGGCCATCATCTTACCCCCATCATCCGCAAGACAGACTTCTTATGGCTTAGGTCTAAATTGTCCCCCAAAACTCTCATGTTCAGAGTCAGGAGTTTTGCAAGGTGACTGTACATCCGTGGATCTGTCCCTTGATGAGTTCACAGGTGGAGCCTGGTTGGAAGTGGTGAGTCACGGGGAAGGGCGATCCGGAAGGTTTATCCTCCCAGCTCCTTCCTGCTCTGTCTCTGCTTCCTAGATGCCAGGCAGGGAACAGCTAGCTTTTTCTATGCTGCCTTTGGGCCAACCCAAAAGCTGACATAGACTGAATCCACTGAAACGAAGCCAAAATAAAGCCCTCTGCAAGTGTCAGGTACTTTGTCCCAGTGATGGAAAAGTGCTCAAAAAAGCTTAGACAAATCAGTGCATTTCACCTTCACTGTTGGTGTCACCTAAGTGCTGTCATTTGATTTCCAAGTGCACACGTCTCTTCCCAGCCTGATCACGAATCCCTGGACAGCAGGGTGGTCTCAGCTGTCTCTTAATCTCCAGTGCCCAGCACAGAGTAGGTGCTTGCTACATATTTGCTCAACAAACTGACTCCTTATTTCTCTGCCAGAGCTGTTATCAGTCAGCCGCAGAATCATTTGCCACAAGCTCATGTCCCCAGCGTGGGCTGGTCAGCAGCAGGCGTCATCCGTGAGTGCAAACAGTCTCATACGCACTTGGACGTTCTGTGGGTCTGGACGCTTGAGCTGAGGCTTGGGTTCCTATCTGTTGGAATTCCTTATCACTACTCAGTTCTCTCCCTCACAGGACCTGTGAGTAACAGTGTTTCTGCTTTTTTGTAATTCAATGCCCCTGACCTTGGGCTGGAAATGTGTCCTTTCTCCATTGTGAGAGTTAGGGCTCTGTGGTTTCAGAACAGGGGAATATGTCAGGACATTGGGACACTGTCACAGCTGACCGGAAGGGAAAGAAAGGGATGCTTCCGTGATGTAAGATTGCAGAGGACACAAACCATCAGGAGGCCTGGCATGGCTCCAGCTCACTTATTTTTGTGCTCTCAGCCCAGGATTCAATTCCTGATCATTACTGTCAAGAAATAACAACAACTCTGCTCTCCAGGACTTTGATGGAAAAATAGGTCCTGTGAAGCCTCTCAGGTGAAGATGTTGATAGAGTTTGGACAGGACATATCAGCAAGCTACAAGATAACTCAGGAAGCTGAGGCCTGGAGGCCACAAAAGAATTCTAGGAACTGGTTTGGGAGAGAGAAATAGAATTTAGTAATTGATTTCAAGAAAAGGAAGGACTATAAAGAATCTGGAATTCTCTACATGTCTGTGCTTTAAACAAGACATATAGGATACCTCTGGGCCTATGGGCTGATCCTACCCCTAGAATGGGCTGGAGCCATCGGGAGCACTGATAACCATCCACACCAGAGCCCTACCCCTGCTCTCTGGGCTGTAGGCTCTCCGTGACTTCTGGCTTTCTCTTTTGAAGAGTTAATCCTTATTTTGTAAGTCTTCTCTCAGAACTATTCACTGAAACCTGTGACTATGACTTAATTTTTATACTCCTTCCCCTTTTCTTGATTTACCATTCCACTCATTTCTCAATCACCTCTTCCTAGTTTCTATTTTTCCCACCTTCCCCATTTCTGGGGTCTCCCACTTCTCTCTCTCTCTCTCTCTCTCTCTCTCTCTCTCTCTTGCAATTCCTCTTGACCTCAGCTTCCCAGTGTTGGCCCAGTAGGGAGGGACTGGGGTATAGGACAGAGCCTGGCAGCTGTCTGGCCACCCATATTCCTCGGGGACAGCCAGGGTAGGGGGTGCCCACAGCTGTGAAGATCCTGGGACTTTGGCTGTGTCCGCTGGCAAAGGTCTTGAAGACTTTGATCTGCCCTAGAAGCAAGATGGGCACAGGTTTTAGTTTCTGTTTGGCTTGTGAGTGAGTTATATCCTGCTGTGTAATGTCATTGCTTCACTAAACACTCACCACATGGCTGTGACAGGTTCAGGACCCTAAAAACCCGAGGTGCAAACCCGATCCAGTTCCCATGCAGAGCTCACGAGGTGGTGAGCAATCTTCTACTTCTGAGATGAACTACAATGAGAAGTGTTATGTTAACAACACAAAAAACATGCGTGGACCAAGGGAAATGGATCCATGGGTCACACTTTCCCTCAGATGCTGACTCTGAAGTCTCGAGGGGGCTGCCCTGTTGTAAGAAAGCATTACTGATGTTAGGTTTATTTTGACTTCATCTGAAAAACAGCCCAGATCCTTTCCTGTCAGGGAAGAATAAACAAACAACAGGAATCATTAGTTTTTTTTCCCCGGAGGCCACTACACAGCTGTCTCTAATGCCAGGTGGCTTTTGCCAGCTACAGTGTGACCACTACTCACTGCAAGGCAGACCCAGGTTTTAGCCCCACAGAATGCTATCATGAGAAGGGGGCTGTGTGAAAGGAGAAGGGAGAGAAAGTTCTCAAAAACCTCTTTTTGGGACAGGTAGGTAAATAGGAAAATGGAGAAAGGAATGTGGTTTAAAACAAAAAGGAGTTAGCCTGGAGTTAGGAGAGTAGACGTCTGGTCCAGCTGTTTGCCAAATGCCTGGTCTTGGTTTTCTTCCCTGCCAAGTGGAGGTGATAACAGTCCCCACCTGGAGGAGCCCCTGTGAGAACTGGGTGATGATGGAATGGGAGCACTGGCACAGCTTCAGTGAGAATGACACAGAACAGGCTGCGTGACTTTGGAACTCACTGGTAAACACTGGCCACAGTTTCCTCATCTGCAGCAGCAGTGAGTTGCAGGGGATCACTTAGAGCTCTGTTTGGCAGCATTCCTTGAGCATCACATTGGTTAGGTCTGGCCCCTGCCTGGGAAGGGATGGGACAGGCACACACAGATGACACCCACAAGAGACCCAGCCTGAAGAGCTGCTAGCTCAGGACAGCTCTGTGTGGCTTGGCTCTGAAGGCTGGGTGGAGATGCTGTCTCTTTTCTTGCTGAAAAACATCCTCAGTGATAAAAGCCAGACTAACACACCAGGTTCTTGACGACCTGGCCTCACCTCCTCTCCACCCTTTGTGCTTTGCATTGCCATATTTATGGTTTCTAAAAACCACACCAGACCCTCTCATCCCTCCCTCCCATTTTTGCACGAGGGCCTTCTATTGGCCTGGATCAGCTGCCTCCCTGCTGAGCAGCACAGGTCAAGCTCTGGGGTCTGACCTCTGGGGTCAGACTGTGGTTCCTAGTCCAGCTTTGCTTCCACAGCCAAGCTGCTGTGTCATGCTGTCCCTTGGTGAGTCAGCGTCCTGGCCTGCAAAATATGGACACGGGGTGACAGTGGTGCCTACCCAGAAGCAGGCAGCAACCTGAGGATTTACTGAGGCGGTGTAAACACTGTGCTCACCAGCGGGGATCGCAAATCACCTAGCGTCACACTAAGCACAACTGCTTCCTCACGCAGCCTTCTGCTGCGCTTCTGGCTGCAGCTCAGTCACCTCCTCTGGGAGGTCTCCTAGTCCCCTGGTCCCCAGCCCCTGTGCACCCTGCTAGTGCAGGACCCCTTTGCTCCTCCAGCGCGCCCCTTGCCTACAGGGCCCCTCTGCAGTGCAGGCTCCCGAGCCTGGCAGTCGGTAACTTCCAAGCAAGTTGCACAGCGAGGTCGCAGTGCCCTCGTGTGTGGCGAAGACAGCTCGGGACAGCTGGGTGGAGGATGGAACGAGCTCGGGTCTGCAGTCCAGACTCGTCCTCCCGACTGACTGGGGGAGACGAAGCCTAAAGAGGACAGCTCTCAGCTGAGGAAAGCCAGTGCCCAGGACAAAACGCTGCTGGACTGGTAGAGCCAGCGCAGGCCCCGCCCAGAACTGGCCTCGGCCCCGCCCCAGGTTTCCCCGGTCCCGCCCAGCTCCGCCCCTGGCCTCATCCCTTCTCTTCCAGACCACGCACCTAAATTGGCCTCTCCAGGCGCGACCCCGCCCCCATTCCGTCCCTCTCCCGGCCCCGCCCACACCCCAGCTCCAGGTCAGGCCCCGCCCGTCCTCTTCCCGACCACGCCCCCAAACCCGCCTCTCGGGGTGCGGCCACGCCCCGATCCCGTGCTTCTCCCCGCGCTGCCCCGCCCCGCACTCTTACTCTTACTCGGCCAGGGAGGGCAGCAGGTGCCCGCCCGCATCGGCAGCCCCGCGGGATGCTGCGCTCCACGTCCACCGTCACCCTACTCTCGGGCGGCAGCGCCCCGGCGCCCGGGACACCCAGCAGGCGGGTGAGTGGTGGGGAGCAGACCAGCCTGGCTCCCGCGGGCTGCGCGTCTGGCCTGTCCCCTCCTTTCCCCTTGTCCACGTCCCCTCCTATCCCCCTGTCTCCTCCTGTCCGCCTGTCCACTGTCCCCTCTTGTCCCACTGTCTTTTCCGGTCACTCTGTCCACTGACCCCTTCTGTTCTCCTGTCCCCACCTGTCCTTCTTCCCTTTTGTCCCCTCCTGTCCTCTCCTGTTCCAGCTTATCTCCCACTCCCCCACCCCCTCCTGTCTCCTGCTAGGCGGGCTGGGGCGATTCTGGAGTCTGGAGCTTCCTACTTTTTCCTCTTCCTGTCCCCTCTCGCCCATGGTGTCACCGGGTTAAAAAGCAAGGGAGACCCACAAAGTGACAACCATGTAAGACTCAAACTTTCCTCCTACTCGGACTGGGAGAAGGAAGCAGCGGGTGTCGCTGAGACAGGGCATCCCTGGTTCTGGAATGGGCGTTCCCACCTCTGCGGGGCCTGTTTTCAAATCTGAGCTTGGCACCCTCAACCCAGCACCTACACCTCTGTGACCTGACCCGACCTGGGCTTATCCCACCAGCACCCCCGCCTTGTCCTGAATGCCTGAGCTCCTAGCTGTCTCTGCAGTCTCTCGCCGTCTTCCCCACTGCTCCAGGTGTGCTGTGAAGGAGTCCCTAGGTGTGTGCAAGGTGCGGCTTCCATACATGCCTGTGTCTTCCGAGAGCAGGGCCTCGGTGCCCACTGTCAGGTGCTGGGCTGGGCTGAGGCCTCCCGTTGTTGTGGCATTTGCTACTTATGGTGCAGCATCCGATCCAGAGCCCGAGGCAGCCCTGACTGGGTTTCTCTGGGTTTAGCTGCACCTGTAGTTAACTACAAACTCCAGTCCCATTGTGGGGCTCCTGTCGGTCTGCTGGTCCCACAGTTGTGCTTATTTGCCCTGACACTCTTCAGCCAAGTGACGGTGGTCACCTTGTAAGCTGTCTTTAGCTGTAGAGGAGAGGTGTGTGTTTCTCTTGGGTGTGGGCCAGGTGATAAGATGTGTGTGTGTGCCCCCGCGCACACACACACACACACCAGATACTTGTGGCTGACAAGACTGTAGTTGTCCAATCATTAACTTCACCAGTGCTGGGGAGTTGAGAGGACTTTAGAATTCCCACCGTGTTCCTCTTTCTCTGCCTCTTCCACAGAGTGAGATTTACTTTGGGTCCATGTAGGTTTCCAGCCACCAGCCTGGCCTGACCCCCGTGAGGGTATTTCCCTTTCTTTCCTTGTAAATCTTTGCTGGTTTGGAGCAAAGTTTTGATTCAGAACCAAGAAAGTCACTGGAAAGAGCCCTAAGCTATGGCAGGTCCGGCTCCCTCTACCTCTGGAGATGACTGGGGCAGCCTGTATGATATCGTGGTGACTACTACATCCCATAACATTTGAAGCCCCCCCCTCAAATATTTGCTTTTGAGAATTTCTTTAGTGCCAAGTGCTTTGGTATCTGGCACACTGTGGCACTGCTGAGATGGCTTTGGCTTTGAGGGCGACTGCACAAGTACACTGCACTGGAGGACTCGGCTGTGAGCCAGATCGCGCAGGGCAGGTCTGGGCGCACTGCTGCCCTCTGTAGAGGGGGTGTCTACAAGTTTAGGGCTTGCTAGACTCGCCCATGATTCCCAAATGTCACATGTGTGCTGCGTGTGTGAGGGGGACAGTGTGATGACAGTGTGATCCAAGGGTTAATGAATTGACTTACTGAATGTTTATGGATCTCTGACTGTGTTGAGGGCAGGATGCTGGGTCCATCCTACCCAAGGAGGTGATATTGTTGTGCTGTGACTGTCACAGTGGGGCAGAGTGTTCTCAGAGTTTTATGACAAGAAAGGTGCCTCTTCCTGTACTCCAGGGCATGCGTGAGCTCAGCCCTGCAGCTTGAGCAGCAGGTTTCGGGGGCAGCTGGTGATGCCAGCGGGGACGTGGAGAGGAGAAATGACCATCTATCCAAACACTGACTCGGCTTGGGAGATAGTGATACTGTGAATCTGCTTTGGGACAAAACACACATTAGTTTTAGACAAAGCAGAATGCAATGTCTTGAAATAAAATTGCAGGCTGAACAGATAATCGTGGAAAGTGTCCCTGAGGTTGCAACAGTTTCCCCAAGCCCGTAACATTCCCTGCACTGGCCCTGATGATGGACAGCTGGTGACCTTGAGCAGGACATGCTGGCTGTTAGAGCGAGTCTTCTATCCCATCCCCAGGGCTTATCGAGTTCACGGCTGTCGGGGACAGCAGGCTGTGTTGGCCCAGGCGTCCAAGCCACCCAGCGCTGGTGGTGACAGGTGACCCTGAGCCCTACTCTGAGTCTGTGGCCAAGGGCAGTGTGGCCAACCAGACTGTCACCTGTTATCTTTTGTCCAGTCCTGAACTTCCTTCTTATCGGCAGTCATCTCTCAAGGGGGAAGAAAACTGGTGGGGAGAGACTTTTAGCCATAAACAAAACCCGGGGAGGCATTTACAGCTGCCTACCAGCAGGACTTGTAAAACTAAAAAAAAAGTCCTGCCTTCAAACCAGGGGTGCACTAAAAATAGTTTTATCTATGGCAACAGCAGGGAGATACATTGTTTAGGGAATAGGCAGCCAGGATGATGACCTTGGGGAGTGGAGGGGGCATTTTTAAAAATATTGACATTATCGCATGGGTTTGAAAGGAATTCTGTAAACAGAAGTTAATAGCTATGTGAGGCTTGGCAGTGAATGCCAGCCCGTGTAGCCGGGCTGTGCTTAGGGGTCCAGGGACCTCTTTGTCCAAGTTGTCCCTTGAGGGTGGGGTCAGGGGTGCTCTCTGGCACTGGGCTCTGAGGCTGGTGTCACAGACCCTCAGGAAAAACCAAACCTAGAAAACCCATGAGGCGGCAGGATGGATGGAGCCCTCCGGGCCTGGCCTGCCCTCCCTGCAGTGCAGGCCTCCTCCACTAACAGCCAGTGCTCCTGACCCATCCCTTCCCTGCAGACAGAGTCCCATGTGTGGGGCTCTGTGCCACCCCGAAGGCACAGGGAGGCTCCGGTGTTGGCTCCTAAGTGTGCCACACTGCTGACTGTCACCCATTTCTTGCGGCCACAGTGAGTTTTCTGAAACGCACATGCAGCTCCTTGGCTCCTCTGCTGCTGAGGCCTCCTTGGGGCTTCCGGGAAAGAGTCCAGACTCTGCAGTTTGGGGCTCTTGGTCCTGTCTCCTAATGCACTGATTCCCAGAGGCTCTGCACAGCTTTGCCCGGGCACTGGTGTTGTCCCCGCTCTTTGCCTTTCTCCTTGCCTCTGCTGCAATGCAAGTACTGCGCTTGGAAGTCTATCCAGAGTCCTCCTCTTGGCAGCTTGCTCACAGTGAAGAAGGCCCAGTGCAACAGGTGCCCAAATAGAGGAATCTCCACAGCCACCGTTCACGGTGGCTCCAGCGAAGCCACCATTAACATCCCATTGGCAAGTGGGGTAAAGCCAGCCTGGCACCCCTGATGCATCTGGGCAGGAAACAGGTGACAGCTGTGGGGATGCTGGCCAGGTGAAGAGGTTGACAGTTCTGGAAGGCCTCCAGATATTCTGGTCACCTCGTCCTGTCACGTGGTTGGAGTTTCACTTCTTCAGTTTTGCATGGAATCAGGAAGCTTGAAATAGCTGTGTCCAGGCTCCGCTCCAGAACAGCCTGGTGCGAACCTGGGAAGTCAGAGAATAACAACTGTATTCTTTAGGAAGTTTCCCAGGTGGTTCTGAGCACAGCTGAGGATAGGAATACTTCGTCAGCATGGTTCCTCCCTCACAGCTTGCTTGGAGAGAAGACATTCTTGGATCGGTGCTTTGGGAAGCTCCCTCAGGCCTTGTAGGAGGGAAGGGAAGGTGTTGGAGGGGGCAGGGCTGTGATGCAGGGACACACTGGTGGCTTTGTGTGCTGTCACCGGCCTGTGGTTTCTCTCTGGACCTTGGCATTTCAGGCACATTGTGTGCCCAGCAAAGAAGTAAGCCAGAGACAGCAGGCAGAGAGGTTGCTCCTCCTACTGACGAGTTTTGGCCAAGGTAGCAGCCCTGACACGAGAAAGAGAGGGTCCAGGACACTGTTCACCTGGAAAAACTGTCCAAGCAGGTAGAGTGGGGAGGCCAGCCACTGCTCCGGGATGACCCGGGCCTGCTTGAGTGTCTCTAAGCTAAGCATGGTTTTCAGGACATTTTCTATCTGGTCTTGACTACCAAAGATTGCCCCACCCCACTGTAGATAATCAGGCTACAAGTTCAGACCCGAGGGACTGATCCATAGGCTGGCCTGTGGGCTCCCGGGGTTGGATACTTATGCCCAGCAGAGCAAATCTTCCCCGCAGAGGCCCTGCCTTCTGTCCTGGGGGAGCTGGGCTAGGGCGGCAGTCAGCGGAGCAGGCCAGGGAGAAATGCAAATACCCATGGCTAATTTCCTTAGGGAAATTCAGTGCTGTAAACTGATAAGCAAACCCCTTCTGCTGTGAGATGATCTTTTTCTTGGCTTGAGCCTGAGTGCCAGAGATTGAGTGTAGGATGGTACCTGGATCCAGAGTACCCAGGTGAGCGGTCAGAAGCGGGGCCCCAGAGGACCCACTGCGCTTCCCAGGTGCCCCGAGTTGCAGACAAAGGCTTGGTTGTGCCTGCTCTTGTGGAGGAGGCCTGAATGCTGTCTGCTTCTCCCTTGTCATCCCTCCCAAGGGGGTGGTTTGAAGAAAGTGGAAAACTCTCCCAGGGGTTTTAGGTATAGTCTCCTCTGTTTCAATTAAAAAACAAAACACAACACAAAACAAAAAAAACTCAGAAAACAAAACAAAATCCCAACACTCACTGAGCAACCACTGAATACCACGCTGAACACTGGCTATAAAAGCCAGAAGGCACAAAGCGTGCTTGACCTCTCCCTTGTGCTTTCCTGCCTGCCCATTTTGAACTGCAGAGAACACAGGAGGGACTCAGTGGCAGCCAGCTGGTTCACCAGACCAGCTCAGAACTGAGTCTTAGGCTCTTTCTCCAAAGATTTGGGTGGTTCCTCCTTGTCTTTCCCTGGAGTCCGTTCTTCTCACTCACCAGTTGTGAGAGTCTGGCCCGGGCGTAGCTCTCCATTCTCCTTTCCCCTCCCAAGTGGCAGGCCCATCATCCTCTGCTGAATCTGCCCACAGCTCTGCCTTGGGCCTGTTGGGAGTGTCCTGTGCAATGGTAGCTGCTATTATGCTGGTAGATTCTCTAAGCCTCAGGGACTTGGAAAGTCCTTCTATACCCAGCTCAAGTATCACTTCTAGGAAGTTTCCTTCCCATACATTCCTGCCTCCAGTGAAGGCTGAGGTTCTCCTACCTGTATTCCCACAACAATGAAGGACACTTACAGACACTTAATATGTGCTGGAAACTATTCTTAGCACTTTACACTTGGCCAATTTAATCCTCACAGTAACCCTTCAAGGCTACAGTGATGCTCACTCCATTTTACAATGGAAATAACTAAAACACTGATGATTATGTAGCTTTCTAAAGGTCTCATTGCCGGTAGATATCAGAACCATATTGAAACTCAGGAAGTGTAATTCTGCCTGCTTCAAACATAAGGCTGCTTGACCACAGGAGTATCTCCAGGGGGGCAGCTGCATGCTCCTGATTGCCTTGGTGGAGGGTGATTCTGGAATAGAAACTCTCATGGGCACAGCTGTTTCTTCGTCACATGTCCCTTCAAAAACTATTTTACAAGTAATTAAGTGCTCAGGATATGAGTTATGCTGTGTGCAGCTTCCTGCTTAGATGCGCTGAAGTGGACTGGTGCTTCCAAAGCCTGAAGATTTCCTGCCTAGGCCAATAGCAGGGGTGGTGCTCAGGGTAAGCCAAATGTAATTCTTTGCATAGTTCAGAGCTCAAGGGTAGCCACAGCTGCTGTGGGGATCCCTGGCAATAAAATAGCTCACCTGCCTCGCAGGTCCTGCTCATTCTGGGGCAGCTTTGGGAATTGTGTGCCTGAGTTTCAGGAACCATGGTGACCAGCACCATAATTGCTCAGAGATAAGCTCTGCTGGGCAAGCTCACCCAGGGACTTTCCCACAGGAGCCAAAGCAGGGGCTGAGCAGGGGAAGGGCTCTGAGCCGGGTCAGTCCAGCAGGTGCAGCCAGAGTAATTCCCTTGGCGTTTTTGTTAGGAGTTCAGAGTTCTTTCTAGACTTCTCCACTGTCTGTTGTTCCTGAAACTGTCCTGTGGATTTGGGAAGCATTGGTCTCTAACTGTCTCCAACATTCTCTTTCAATCTTTATTATTTCTCTGACTAGGCTGATATTAATTTTAAAAGCAATCATTATAAATAGCACAGATTAACAGCTTCAACAGTTGGTTGGGTTTCCTTAAGCGTATTTTTTCTTCAAGTTAACACAAATTATTACGATGTATTTGGGTGAATTAGGTGTTTTGAGGAGGATTTTTTAAAATCATTCTGTTCTGCAGCTTCCTTTTTGGGCATGGCAGTACATTGTTCATCTTGTTCGGAAGAGGTGTGTGTGATCCTCTTCCAGGTTGGGTTTAAATTGCCAGTTGGCTGTGGCCAGCATTTAGGAAATAATGACCGTGTTCTTTAATGTTTCCATCAAAGCACCTCTGTAGACATTAGTGAGCCACCAGGAAGATAGGCCCTGGGGTGGAACCTTGAGCACCTGCATGCCTGCCACATGGCTTTGAAGTCAAAAGTTTTATTTGACACATTGTGCTTACCTTTGGGCTGTCCCTACCCTGAGGTATCCAAAGCTCAGTGCAGGGAGAGTTGAGGAAAACCATTCTTCAGGGCCAGCAGGGGAAGAATGGGCTCCATCAGAGCTGGGAGTTTTTCTCACCTCTTGGTGACTAGACTCTTGTGGTCTTCTTTCTTGAAATTATGGCCCTTAGGAATTATTGACTAGGTAGTCAGCCAATCAAAAGGTCCTTAGGGTTCACCTTGGCTAGAGTAATCAACCCATCAGATGCATGTTGGGATCACATGGCTGACGCAATCAGCCAATCAAAGGCATCACTTTAAGACCTAATGCTGTAGATCCACTGACAAAATTGCCCATTCTCCTGGGAAACAAGGCCAAGTCAAATACATCTGCTTTACTCTAGAGCACATAGGGTGATAGGGAGTTGATAATATCTACATGATAATTAAAATCTCTGACATTCATAGAGGCTGGGAGTGTGTTAGATACCCATTCCTGGATACGATTCTTATAGATTGGGTGCCCATCCATCAAGGAAGTGGTGGTGGGTGTGGGGACCCTTCACAGTGGGCAGGCTTGCTGTTCAGAAGTTGTCTGTCAGCCAGTGTGGGTCTGGGTCCCCAAGCCGAGGTGGGGCTGAGCTAAGGAGGGAGAGAGAGTTAGTCACTTTGTTAGGGACACCATAAAAAGTGCCACACACCTGGTGGCTTCCTCAATATGCATTCTCCTCTGGCAGTTCTGTAGGCCGGCAGTCCAAGTCCAAGTCCTTCAGAACTGGGCTGTGAGGACGCGGCTGTCCAGGCTGTCTCGGCTGGTGGATGACTGTGCTAGAGTTCACAGGGAGGCCTCCCCATGTGTTGTCTGTGTCCCAATCTCCCATTTTCATAACGATGCCAGCCGTTGGTTGTAGGGCTACCTCTGTGGCCTAGGTTCTACTTGATTACTGCTGGGAAGATCCATGTCTAAACAAGGTCCTATTATGGGAAACTGGGGTTGGAGTTTAGTGAGTGAATTGTTAGGGTACACACTTTAGCCCACGTAGGGGGCGTGACGTTCCTGTGAGTCGGGCCTTGTGGTGGGTGGCGGTGATGGCGAACCTTTCAGAGCTTTCAGTGACCACGAGTGTCCCCATTCACCACCACCACCCTGTGATGTTTCACTGAGTAATGGAGAAAAGTATCCAGGTTTATGTCTCGGTGCCAACACTTCCTCCTCACAGATCCCTCAGGGAATTGGTGTCCTCCACGGCAAAGCAGGACTGGCAGAGTCCCTACTGTCTGGGTCACCATGGGGACGAGATGAGTGCAGAGAGCTGGACAAGCCCAGCTGTCATTACCATCCCCGCCCTTCGTGCAGCAGGAGTCTGTCTGCTGACCTACTGGGCAGGAAAATCACCTGGCTCAGAGCCTCCTTTTGTCGCTAGGATATGGATAAATCACACCAGTTATGGTTTCTGTCACTGCTTTTGTATTTTAAGAGAAACAGTACACTCCAGGCTGTTGTGAGTGTGTGTGGTGTACTGGGTCTCGAACCCAGGGCCTTGTGAACTGAAGGAAAGCACTCTGCATTGAGCGACAGCCCCAGCCCTGGACATTTAAAAAGCACTCAGGGTCCTTTATTCCAGTATTTCAGTGAACAGTCTTGACGACCTGTAATGAGCTGACACGACAACCTGAGAAAGGATTGTCAACAAATAACTAACTGTCGTGACCTAGCTAGCCAGTGAGCCAGTGAGGAAGTCGGCTGCCTTCTCAGTTTGTAATTGTTATATTCTTAGTCTTCTTTTCAGCTGTTTTCCTCCTGGTCTGTATTCAGAAAACATCGGCAGCTTTAGTTTTAGTTTTTGTCTCCTTTTTTAGATTGTAGAATATTCAAAACCTGCTGGGGATTTAACTCAGCAGCATAAGTGACTGTCTGGCAAGCACAAGGTCATGAGTTTGATCCCTGGTACCATATATAAACCACAAAAACAAAAATGAAAACAAACCCTCCCCACCCCCGGCCGTTTCTGCCAAGTGGCATTCCTTGCATTTACCATGTGTGCAAAGATCACCGCCTGCCCATCCCTGCACCTCTCTCACCTTGCACCCTGACACCCTGCATCCAGCGAGCTGCAACTTGCATCCCATGCACTGTTCAGCTTTCAGCTCGTAAGTCTGCTCCTCTGCATGCCTCAGGTGGGTGGGATCACGCAGTATTTGTCCCGTGTGTCTAGTGTGTGCAGCATGTATCAGAATTTTCTTTCTTCCACCATGCGTGCGTATGAACCACACTTGGTCATCCATCCGTCCATCCAGCCATCCTATCGTGAAGGCTCTACCGTGAGCAGTGCTGTTGTGGACATGCCAGGGAAAGAAGCTGTGATTAAACACCGTACTTTGTCGTGGAAGAGCTAAATGCATAGCCAAGGGGAAGGCAGCCCGCTGCCCCTGGGCCTGAAGCCTTGTGCCTTGGAATCAGGGTGCCCTTTTGGCTCCAGTCCCACTAGCTGTGCTCCAGCTGACCCCTGGGAAATGAGGTGCTTCTGCATTGCTGGGCCATGTGAAAATGTTTGGAGTCTCTGAAGTCACCAGGTGATTTCTTTGCTTTGAGCAGCAGGCTGGTGGTAGTCTCACCCTCCTAGTCACCTGTGTGATGGGAACAGTGACCCCATGGTCTGGTGGGGGAGCCGGCTGCAAGGAGCCCAGGGGGCCTGGCTATTCAACTGCTTTCTGATCGGCCTCTCCTCCTCCTTTAGGCAAACATCTGCAGACTGCGGCTCACTGTGCCTCCTGAGGGCCCTGCCCCTGAGCAAGCGGAGAAGAAAGTTGTGAGGAAAGAGCAGGTGAGGCCATGCTGATATCCGCTGGGACTGGCTCCCTGCATCCCTCCTGGCGGCTCAGAGCAGCACTCCCAACCTTTGTCCCTGACCCCTAGAGGTCAAGCCCTTGTCAGCTGAGCTCAGGCCCCTGCTCCACTCCCGGGTGAACCCTGGCTCTATGCCCCCTCGGGGACAATGGCCTTGGTGACAGGGGCTGCAGTTGAAGCAGCCGGTGGAGGCTGAGTCAGAGGACCCTCTGGGGGTGTCTCTCAGTGCTGGGTGTGGCCACTGGAAGCCGAGCGGGCAATGAGGCGCCCTGGTGTGGTCTGGCTTTCTTGGCTGCAGCTGAGAGCTCAGCAAACAAACATATGTGTGCCAGCCCTGTGCCGATGCCAAGGCCACGGGGATGAGCGTGACCTTGTCCTTGCCATGGAAGGGCTCAGGCCTTCCAGGTGAGTGATGTTACCCCACTGTTCAGACCTGGAGTGTAAAGGGGCTCTGGAGACACAGAGGAGGGGTCAAGTGACAGCTGGGTGGGTGCCACGGGAGTGCAGCAGGCACCTTCTGAACCCCAGGCTCTGAGAGGACAGGAGGGACTGGAACAGTGGAGCTAAACTTACCTGCCACCCTGGGAACAGGTGGGACCAGAGAGAACTGGAACCAAAGTGAAGGCTAATGGGGGCCAATGGGTGACAGACGGGACGGGAGCGCAGGGACGAGGTGGTCCAGTTCCTGTGCATGTGTTTGTGAGAATGTAAAATAATAAACTGAACATGTGATGTTCGTAAGGAGGATCGTGAGGCAGCAAGCGCTCCACCAGCACGAGAGGAAGCTCCTCCACCAGCAGAGAGGCCAGCCAGGGGGTGACTGCTCTCTGTCCTCTTTCCACCCCGCCCTTCTGTTCCCTGCTTCCTATCAAAGGCATAGCCAGCGTTTCATCAATGGTGGAAGCCAGACATGGGAGTAGGGAAAGAAGATGAGGGCATCACTCTAGAAATGTGAAGGAGGCGAGCTTGTCCTCCACTTGAAAAGAGGACTCTGCCTGCTGGTTGGGAGGACACAGCTCAGCCTGGGATGCTTCACAACAGGCAGCATGTGGAGACCAGTGAGGTCAGGGCTGAGGACCCAGGGGTCAGCACAGGAAAAACAGGAGCATCAAAAAGAATGAGAGCTGGGCGTGGTGGTGTATGCCTGTAATCCCAGCACTCAGGAAGCTGAGGCAGGAAGATTGCCACAAGTTTGAGGCCAGCCTGGACTACATTAACAAAACTCTGTTTCAAACTGCCACCTCTGGAAGAATAACAGTGTAGGCTGAACAGCCCTAATTGAAAAATCCTATATCCAAAATGCTCCAAAACCTAAGACTTTTTGAACATTGACTCAGCACTCAAAATGCTTTAGATTTTGGAGTGTTTTGGATTTTGAATTTTTGGATTGGAGCTGCTCAACTAGTAAAGCCCATGCAAAAAATTTTAAAAACTCGCAAATCTGAAACACTTCTAGCCTGAAACATTTCATTAAAAGGATGAATAGTTTTTAATGGGTTATGATACAGTGAATAATAATAATAATAAATGATAATAATAAAATCTGGGGCTGGAGATTTAGCTCAGCGGCATAAGCCTGACTTGCAAGCAGGCAGTCGTGAGTTCGATACCCGGTACCAATAAAAAGGAAACAAACAAACAAAAAAAATCTACAATCATGGTGATTATCAGAGAGGGAGGGAAAGGGGAAGCAAAAGTTTTCTATGGAACTCTGGCTTATTAATCTGGAAAATCTGTACCCTGAAGCCCCTGCCCAGGCCCCTCCCTGGGTGCAGAAACTAGGAAGTGAGAGATGATGGTGGCCTGGGGTAGTCACGTGTCTCCAAGCATCATCAGCAAGTGTCACACTGACTCGGAAGGGACAGTGGACCTCCCGGCAGTGCAGCCTGGCAGGCAACCTTGCGAACAGCTGACCCAGCCCCATGTCACCAACAGGCACAGCCTGCTGTCACCTCCCTCCAAGGGGCCTTGGTTCATAGGCACACGGTGTCAGCTAGGTACTGACCCAGCTGAACTCACAGCAAGAACAGGAGAATCCCGAATGTGGGACATTCTACAAAACAGTTGGCCCGAACCCATCCATGAAGTCCATGCTATTTGAGAAAAGATGACAATCTGTTACAGAAAAGAGACTCTGAAGAGACTTCACAAGAAACATACTCAGGTCAGAAAATTAAAATGAAAAGCACATTGCAAAAACTACACAATTTTGAATATGAATTGTACGTGAACATTACTAAATAAATGTCCATTGTTTCATATGGTTATCTTACTATGGCAATATAAGCAGACTGTTCATTCAGCTTCATGGCATTGAACATTCATTCCTCAGAGAAAAACTTAGGGGACAAAGCTCATAACCACAGTGGGGCTGCAGCGTGGAGCTCTGTTGCTGGCCGTGTGACAGGACGACCCTCCGCCCTCAGCATGCCTCTCCTGGTCTGTCCCTGTGGCTGGCTCTGGGCACACAGGCTGTGCTGAAGGAGAGGGCTACGTTGGTGTGGGTGACAGGACACAGGCCTCAGAGCTGCCCGGGCCCTGGGCTGGTGAAGGACACAGCGGGGCCATCACCCCCGGAAGAACAAAGCATTCGAAAAGCAGGAAGGCCGTGTGTGTAGCTGTGATGACCGTGTGGCACCCGGTTTGCGTTTGCTCTGAACAGTGCTGCCAGGCTTGCTGAAGCAGCAGGAACCTTCTCCTCGTCAGTGTGCCATGCACAGAACCCTCGTGTGTAACCAGACAGAAGCGGCACCAGTGCGGGTCAAAGTCCTCGCAGTGCCCCATCCCAGACATGCCACTGCAGGTGCTCAAGAGCTCCCCGGCTCCTGGAAGCTCGGGAAGAACAACTGGGGTAGCGACTGTGCCCTGATGCCCTGTGTCCTGGGCGGATAGAGCCTGACGTCTGTGACTCACCCTGGAAGAACTGGGGTAGAGAGGAGGAGGGTGGGGCAGCTGTTTCCCTGGGACTGAGGTCCGGGGTGGTGGCAGGACTTGATAGTTCTGGTGGTAACCAAGAGGCTGTTTTGAGTGACCCGATCACTATGTCCTGCCTAGGTCCTGGTCGTGAGTCACTGGGAGTTCACCAGGAGTCCACATGCCAGCAAGGCTGCGTGTGGTTGGGGACACTTCTGATGTGGTTCCAAGTGTTTGGCCCTCCCTCGGGCCCACAGATTTGTGAGGTGCTGGAAATTCTGGGTGACCTTCCCAGTCAGATGCCTTTCATCTCCCTGAAGGGGGCAGCATGCAGAGGATCTGGAAGTGGAGCCTTGAGAGTCCCCATTGACTCCTCGTGAAGTGTGCCTTCGAGGAGGGGCCCGGGACCTGTGAGAGCTGCTGCTGCCCGAGGGCAGGCCAGGCCTTATTTTCTGATGCTGCCAGGAAAGCTGCTTAGGATTCTGGGATATATGTGGCAGCTGTGAGACGTGGGTGATTCTGCCAGCCAGACATCCTCCAGTCCCTGTTTTCACATCATTGGAAGGGAGAGGAATTCCTCTTGGTGTAGGTGCACCCCGGAGGCTGGCTTTGCCCAGCTGCACGGAGCAGTTAAAAGGCCTGCAGCCTGTGTGGAGTCGTGCTATCAGGGCATTATTTGGGAGCTTCTTCCGCATAAGCCAGGTGCCAGGCACCTGGTCCTCTCCACCTCTTCCTCTTCCGGGGGCCTCGGGTGCCTGGGTCCGCTTTCTGTGGATCCCAGGGGAGCCACTCTGCACAGAGCGCCCGAGGCTGGAATAGAGTGATGCGGACCAAACACAGGTGTCCTCCTGTGGAGGCTCAAACCTGGAGGCCTGAGGTTTGCCTGCCTCTCTTCTCCCTCTTGCAGTCATTCCTCTCCTTCCTCCTGGCTGTGACTGCAGAGTCCCTCTGCTGTTGCTCTGTCCTTTTGTGTAAACCTGAGCCTCTGTCTGCGCTTCCACCCAGCCTCGCCAGCCTCCCCATTCTGCACACTCCGGACTGCAGAGAACCAGAGCTGCAGGGGCCCTTGGCCTGGCCTGGCCTGGCCTCCTCGGGAAGGTGCTCAGCCTCGGCCTTCAGCCCTCAGCCCTCAGCCCTCAGCCTCACCTCCTCCTCGGGCCTCGTGTCTGTGCTGCAATACAGACAGAGTCCCAGTTATATGGTGTATCACCATAGCGTCAGCACGGAAGAGCATGGCATCTGGATCCTTTCTGTGAATAGGTTCCCCAAAGGTCCAGGCAGCGCCATGGCTCTGAACAGGTCTAGGCGCGGGTGCCTGTGCTACTCAGCAGCCTCAGAGCAGGCCGCCTTCCCACTTCCTGGTCCCCTGTGAGAAGCAGGGTCTCGGCTTAGGTCTTACCTTCGGGTGTCCTGTGTGTGGGGGTCCCCTGCGCTGCTCAGAGGCTGGGGCGGGGCTGGCAAGGGAGGAGGGGGAGCCGAGGCCTGTGCCCCACTTCCTGCCTTCTTGGGGATTCTGAGCTCCCATTCTAGGGAATCACTCTGCCCTGCTTCCTTCCCTTCCAGAAGCAAATACTCGCCTCCTCATCCAGCCTGCCCCAGACAATCAGCCCCAGGCCTCAGCCCTTATCACGTGCAAGAGCAAGGGAAGACACAGGGTCCAGGATGACGGAGGCATCCCGATTGTGATGGGACATGGCTGCTGGGACTGTGTTTCCTTAAGGTGTCACCAGTCTGGTTTCCCGATAGCCAGTCCTGTCAGGCAACCCTGTTTGCCCCAGTCCCAGCTCATCTAAAAGCAGCCCAATCGTGTTGCCACTGATTTGTCCTTCTGTCAGCCTGTCCCCACTGGAGAGGTTCCCTGTGTCCCCCAAACGCAGGGCGTCTCCTCCCTCAGAGCCCTGCCAGGCCCTCTGAAGGCCTGCAGTGTTTTCTCAGCCTTCTCTCCCTCATCTAAGGCCTCTCCAGCCCTCGAAGCTCAGTGGAAGCCTAGCTGTCCCCTTTCCTAGCTGTCTTGTACCTGGACCACTCTTCCACTTTGGAACTCCAGGCTCCAGCTTGCCTTTC